TGCTCCCATGCGACATTGACAACATCGAGAATCTCGACGAAGATGCTGAGTGTTTCGTGCAACGAGCCGAGGAAGCACGTCAACTAGCCCGCGTAAACATCAAGAAACAACAAGGCGTCGATGCACAGCGCTACAACCGCTGCCACAGACAAGTCGATTATAAACCAGGTGACCAGGTGTTGGTTTGGACCCCTGTGCGCTGCAAAGGTCTCTCTGAGAAGCTTCTCAGTCGGTATTTTGGCCCGTACAAAGTGCTACGACAAGTGAGCGACGTCAATTACGAAGTCCTTCCGGACGGAAGCCAACCACCCCGACGCCGACAGCTACGACCCGAGATTGTGCACGTGGTGCGGTTAAAACCGTACCACACACTGTGACAATGTTTTTTTTTTACGATACACGCTTCGTTTAGCATCGAGGCGATGCTCTTCAGGGAGGAGGGGCAGTGCCGCGCGCTTGATCTGCCAGCGCAAAAGAGGCAGACGAAGTGGCAGTTCCCCTCGTGCCATTGTTCTGTTTTTGGCTGCGCTGAGCCGACCGCTCTTCGGACTTTTGTGAGGACGCCTTAAAAACGTCTCCTGTCTCTTTAACGTGACAATATATATATATATATATATATATATATATATATAGTTGTTCTATAATAAAGCGTCATTTGTTTTGTTTTGTTGTGTTATGGGAGCTTGTGCGAGCTTGTCCGCAGTCTGCTTCGTCGCCCCAGGCAACGACACCACATGTGTGTACGCCTCTTCCTCTTGTCCGTGTCCTTTTGTGAGCTCAACTCATCCCAAGCGGTGACCAACCAACAATGCTGCATCGCCAACCTTGTGAGATGCTGTGATCTGCAGTGCAGGTTTGAAGCTTCATAAATTACACAATTAATGCAGAAAGCCTAAATGAGTCTGTAAACAACCATTTTTAGGACTTGTGCAGCTGGCCCGATCTGTACAATATCGTCAAAACCGTTTCAGGGTCCCTTTGAGGAAACGTTAAAGACTTCCTAGAGGCACCTTCTAGGTTGTTAAGTAACACTTACCGTATTTACTCGATTCTACCGCGCCCTCGATTGTAACGCGCACCCGGTTTCCACGACGGAAAAAAAAAGTGAGACATCGATTGCAACGCGCACCCATTTTTCTCGTTGGCCCACACGATAACACCACTTGGGGAAAAGACTCCTTTCGGGAGCGTCTTCCGTTTAAATATGAGGTACGAGAGAAGCTTGTGCCTATCAGACGTGCAACAGAGCATTGCCGTCACTCTAGTTTTACCGTGGCCCGATGTCAGCACGCGAACTTGCTTCGCTCCCTTCTTCTCGACGGTTGTGGTGCCAGGCATGTCAAAGTAAAGAGGCGTCTGATCGGCATTCCCGATTTGCCCAAGCAGGGAGCCGTTCTTGTGCCGCAAGTTTAGGACGAACCTCTGAAAACTGAAGCTTTTCTTCGTACTCCTCCGGCAACTTTTGGCATATGCCCGTTCGCCTTCAGAGGGAAAAGCCTTTCCTCTTCATAAAGTTAGTTAGCCAGCACCTGCTCGCTTTAAACTGGCTCCGCATTAGCCTTTTTTCTAAGGCTAACTGCATAGCCTACACTTAGAGCAGTTCTGTCGTCACGGGCCGCTTGCTGCTCAAGCACATACTCGGCGAGCAGCTCTTCAATTTGCGGAAACCGACCCTGCTGTGGTCCGCTGAAGCCTTTGTGTGAATCTATGCTGTCGACTATTTTCTGCTTTTGTTTCCGCCAGTCCCGCACGCACGTTTTGGGAACTCTGAACGACCGCGATGCAGCCCGATTTACGTACGTTTCGGCACACGCGATGACCATTCTTTTAACAGCGGCATCATGGTGCACTCGTCGAGTTTTTGGAGTCGGCCCTTCCATGCTGTCGATGCTAATGCACACCAAGATGACGAACTCCACAGCACACGTACGAAGTGCTGCACATGGGGAACACATAGGCAGAAATGGCCGACGCGCCATGCCGACGCACGTAGGGGGCGGCCATTTTGGAATGCCGATAGCAATAGAATGACCGTATTCATTTTTTTTCGTACTCGATTCTAACGCGCATGCGATTTATGAACTCGCTTAATTGGAAAAAAGGTGCGCGTTATATTCGAGTAATTACGGTAATAACTTGGGCAGTATGACAATGCCTATTACACGAGAGTGTATTTTGACCTGGTCAAAAACACAACAGTTGAGTCACTGGGAGAGAAGTGTAGCAGAGAAGGGATACTGAATGAGAACTAAAAAAAAAAAAAAGTACTTTGAATTTTACTTTGAAAACATGATTGTTCTGGTAAGCAAAGTTTACTTCATTAGTTTTAAAACATTGGGCTGTATTTTTGCAACAATGCCAGCAAGCAGTGGCTGCATGTCTGAGCGAACCGTGATGTTGCAATCACCGTGGTGGACCCTGTGACTCACCCTCTATAGCCTTTACCCCAAGTCAGGAGCATTGTTTATTGCTGATCACCGGGAGTCCACTACTCCATCATTCTTGACACAAGCAAAGTTCCGCAGCTAGCTATTCATTTCCCAACAAGATCGTCGCGTTTCAAGCTTTTTTATTTTTCCTCAGAGCACTTACACTTTTTTCTGAGCCTTTGCACAACATTCTTAGAATGCATGTGTTATACCAAAACTACTAAGACATCACCCGACCAGTGAGTGAGTGGTCAAGTGCCACAGCATTCTCTGGTTGGTAGGTGACAGGTTTGAACCCGAGTGTTTCTGATGGTGTTCATAACGGTTTTAGGAACAATAGTGGGACCTGAGTGGGCTGAGAGACGTGGGCGATGGCTGTCATTGTTGACACGCCCATTTTTCTGTGCATAAAACTTCGCAATGTTACCTCCTCTACATTCCAGAACGACCATTAGACGCGACAGTTTGTGAAAAATGCATTACCGTATTTACTCATGTAAAGAACCCACTAGCATGTCAACCCCGCCTCCCCTAGTCCTCCAAAAAAAAAAGCATACTTTTCCACGTATCTGTTCATTTCATTTCGGTGAGATAGCCAGTGCCGTTGACCGATCGAAAAAATGTTAAATTACGCCATTGAATAGCAAATTACCAAACTATAAAAGTAAAAACATAGCTTAAGAACCATGCTAAACAGCTGAGAGTGTGCCACATCAATCAAAACATAAGTTCCGCTATTGAGTGATGAAAAAACCTCTTTGCTTATAGCACCACGCAAGCACAGCAGCCTGATAACAAACAACAAAGCACAACTTGGTGCAATGGTGCGGTTCACTCGCAAGGCTGCACTGTACATGCGGCGACAGCCGACACTGCATTTTTGATGTCGGGTTTGTCGTAGTGAACTACGTTGAACCTCTGCTGCGAGGGGAATGAGCGGCTGGACGACGCTTGGCGTCGATCTGTGCTTGTTTGTTATGGGGGAAAACAGCTTCGGGCTACAAAAAAGGTTTGTCAGGCATTTTGCGGGTGAAAACAAGGACAGTATGTTCCTATGAAGAGGGAAGTTCTTGAATAGGGGCTCAATTATCCTGCCACTGAATTGAAGGCCATCATCGGTTGGACAGCAAGTTTCTTAATACCGTCATACGAAGTTCTGACCGTAGTAACTCAAGTGACTTTCTTTTTTCTCTTGCGTAATGAAGCCTCCCCCCAAACTTGCGTCAACTTCTTTGGAAAAAAAAAAAGTGAGTTCATTACACGAGTGAATACGGCATATTCGTTAATTTCCTCTAGTCTCTGCCTGAAAAGGAGGTTGCATCTATAGATTTGAGCACCCAATCTTTCAATCTGGCTGAAAATTTCAGGACGCAAGATTTTGTTCAGTCTTCCTTCATGCTTCACTTCGGGGAGTGGCAGAGTAATAGGGCACTTTTTGCATTGCCATCTTATTTAAATGCCTTTCTTCGCTTCTTAGTTGACACCCGAGTCGTGCTACGAAGAAGGGAGTGTCAGTGCATGTGACATTGGCTGTCGCATGTGCTCCTTGAATGCCTACCACCGTACATCTGCGGAGTGCCCACTACCCCATAATTCAACATTCTTTCGAAGTAGAGAAGTACCCACTGTGCATCCATAAGGCAATATGCACCACTTGTTCATGTTTTGGCCAACAATAATTATATTATGGCTGAGCACTTTGTAACAGATGGGGTACTGCCCGCTTGTGAGATTAACATGGTGTGCTGCCTGATATGACAGAATGCTTCTGCCAAGTAATATTTTGTCTGTTAGAGGCTCCTTGCACTAACGCAATTCTTGTATAGAGCATGTCCCGGAGCAACATCAAGCTCTGGTATGGCTCTGTGTTAGAACACCTGGCAGTCGCACAGAAGGCTAAGGTTCGATTTCGGCTCAGAATTGTGATATTATTCTTAATCAAAATGGCTGGTTAGGCAAATTGGTGATTCCTTATACTTGAAGTATGAGCGTGTTAACAAAAACAAGGACTTAAGCAGACAAGGAAAAGCGTATGGAAAACGTCATTGACTTACTCTGCTTAAGGATTTATTTTTGTTAACGCACTTGCATTTAATGTACACTGAAACCTCGATATAATGAACCCGGATATAACAAAATATCAATTACAACGAAGTAAACAAAAAAAGGTGCTAATATTGATACAGTGTTAGCAATATACCTTTATAACAAATGTTTCAATATAACGAAACTTATTTTCATGTAAGATACAACTTTGTTATAATGACCCTTGAGTGTATCATTATTCTTTGCACTCACCGCAAGGTTTTCACTCACAGAAGAATGCTTGCGTCTGCCTTCCTCAACACAGATGGCCTTCAATACGAAAGGGAACACGCAGAACTATGAATGATGGAGCTCACATGCATCCCTTTTGCCTGTTTGATCGCAGAGTCACCAGGACATGCCCCTCTTCAATTTTGCCCTCCATTCTTGGTATACTTTACGTCAGTAGCAAAAAGAATGGCTTGCCAGCCACCTTGCTGGAAATGCGTCGCTGGATGACTAGGCACAAAACTAAAAGTAACTTGCCATTTGGCACTTGTTCTTCGGTCACCATCTCTTCCTGGGCAGCTGCTACTTGAACGTTCGCTTCCAGCAGCATGGTCTGGGTGTCCTTCTGAAAGAGGGCATTTTGCTTTACACTGGCTACAAAATGTGTCACTAATAGAGAGATCTCGAAAGCAGAGCTTAATAAGCTTTTCATTGCAGTGGGTAGTGCGACCAGAAACAATCATCATCATGAATGTACTTTCATAGTACATATACTAAACTCATGAATTAGCATGCGCTCATTTTATCCTATTCATCTTCTGCTTCACTCCCATAACACACGCACAAATCTGTTTGGCCGTGGAATGTTTGATCGTGGCGAGTACGTCGAATGCCTAAAAAAATAAGGAGCGTCACATAGCAACTCGGTCGCGGGAGTAAAAAGTCCACAGCATCATTAATTAACAGGTCACACAACTTGAAATCCCACAACATCAGGTAACAGCTACTCACATGACTAGAAGCCCATCAGGAAGCAGCCAGTCATGAGGCAGGTTCCTGACAAACCCATGTATCACATGCGCCGTGTGAGAAAGCAACCAAAACTAAAGGAACACATACTGTGCATCTCAGATGAGAGTGAAGTGCATAATAGATGCCTAAAATATAGTCAAGCTTAGTCATACTTAGTACTATTGGCAAAAACTTAGCATCTTTGGCAACACCTTGGAATACAAACTGTGAAAAAGATAGAGACACTAGCTTTGCTGTTGGTTCCAGCCTTTCGCAACTGATGCAAAAGGCACACATTTTTCTTTTTAGCATGTACAATAACTGACAAACAGGTATGACTAAATGCCATTGACTAGGACATGTACAGTACACTGGCATCAAGCTATCTGGGTACATATTCATGGGTACATATTCATCTACTGCCCGTAAGCTGAATGTGCCAATAAGCTAAGTGTTTCATTAAAGATCAGTTGTCAGCACCACTTTTGTGTTAAGCCTCAGGGTGGTGTGGTCTACTAGTACAAATTTCGCTGTGAAATTCATATAAAGAAATACAAATTTACTACAGCTCCATTAAGTGCCTTCAAAGTGCACTGCCACATTGGCCAGGACCTATGCCATTTTTATCTTTTATGAATGTATATATATATATATATATATAAGTAAGGCTCATAAAGTGATTGAGTTGCCATTCAAATAGTTGAAAAAGTTTTCTGCTGCTCATAATATCACGATGCCTTACGTGTGACTCATTTTATGATAAATTATCTAGCACTATTAGGCAGTAGCTAAGTGCATTCATATACTCACCCGACTGATTGTTATGGTTTTGGAGTATTTGAAGTTCTCTTTCGCATCGCTCCAGCTGCCTGACCCTTTCCATAAGCGACTGGTGCTTCCTTTGAAGTTGAGTGTAAGTGCTTCTGGGTACAACGTCGCGTGCTACGGGTGCCATCGGAATGCAACTGCATCGGCCTTGTCGTCTCAGTCGGTCCACCTCTTCCGTCAGTGCTTGCAGTTTGCGTTGCATGTCAGCGAGAGCGCCACTGGGTAGCGGTCCCACTCCGTACTCCACCAGGGCAGCTTCAATCTGCTCTTGCCTCTCCTGCTCTGGAATGTGCTCTTGGTCTCTGGACACTGGAACGGTGCTCTGAAGTTCAAAAACCACGATTACTGTTGAGTAGAGTTCCTAAGTTCACATGCCAACAGCACCTAGATCAGAAGGTTATGTTCAAATTCCCTGGGGAGGCACAATTGCTAAGTCAGAAGTCGCGGGATAGCATTCGAGCCCTGGTGGCCACATTTTGATGGACACAAAAAAGCTAGAGACCTGTTCGCTTAATAATGCGAACATTAGGAAAACTTGCGTGGCTAAGATTTCTAAAGTCATTCGCTATCTTGTCTTATAATTATATCATTGTTTTGGAACCTAAAATCTTATAGATTACTATTATAATTATTAACTCACATTTAAGCCACAGCTGTTATAGCAGGCTTCTGACTAAAACTCAATGTATCTTTTTCTCATCCTCTGCAGCTGCTAAGCGCAATGACCCTAAGGTCAGTCCTCTAAGCCGCCACCAAGACACCGACTTAGTGTGCCAACCTTAGCGGCTCCACAATGTGGTGTTAGTGGATACTACAATCGCAAAGTGTTCAATAAAATTTATGGTTTTACATACTAGAACCACAATATGATAACTAGCCTGTGCTATAGTGGAGGATTCCCAAGTTATTATAAGCCCATGGGTTTTTTTCAACATGCACCTAAACTTAGTACAAGGGTGTTCTTGCATTTCACCCACGTTCAAATGCAGCCAACACGATTGTGTATCAAACCTGCACCATCAAGTTTAGAATTGACACCTTAGCGACAGGGACGGCCTGACAGTTCCACAAGTGAGCAAAAAGCATTATTTTTACATAGAGCAGCCTATGCTAAGATTATGCATTTTAGGCGTGATTGAGTACACCTTGCATAGAGCTGTATGGACAGGCATATTTATTCAGTATAATAACTGTTCAGGTTTTTAAAATTTAATAATGAATAAGTCCTAGCATTAGCGATCCCATTAGCTACTAGAAGCGACACCAGACTGCCTGAGATGAGGAGCTGTGCTTGAGTGGCTGCACAAAATTTAAATTATGTTGAAAGGAATGTGTTGGAGCTTGTGCTGTATCCACCAGAAACAAGATGTAGCTATTATCTGACGTACTCGACAAAGGCTTCCAATAAACAGCATGCACATCAGCCCGCCTAAGATTGTTTGCCAAGCAAGGTTACCTGTAAGTACAGCCTATCGATTCAACCAAAACAAATTCCATTTCAGTTGGCCTTAAAAGGAGATTGAAAATGCTGCTTCATGCTATAGTTGGGTGAAACCTTTACCACAAGAAAGAAAGAAGTGTACATTTAGGGTTCATTTTCTTTGTTAAACACAGTATTATTGAGTCGAAAACGCCAAGGAAAGTGTAGGGAATGTTATAACAAGTAACTGCAATGTAAAATTTGTGAAAAATGAAAAGTGGGCGAAAAGGTAACTTGCCGTGGGCAGGAACTGAACCTGTGACCTTTAAGTAACGCATTGGGTGCTCCACCAACTGAGCTACAATGGCAGCTGTCCCCCAACCACTTTACTGGGCATGTATGTGAATGAAACGTGGGTGCGTCACTTAGCGCTACTTGTAGCCATGACGGCAAGTGTGGAACACTTTTTTTCTGCCTGTTTTACATCACGTAGCACGTGATGTCAAACAGGCAGGAAAGAGTGTTCCTGATGAAAAGCGTACTGACGGACGCTCCAACGTTTCATTCCCATACATACCCAATAAAGTGGATAGTGCTAGTTTTATTTATTTTTTAGTATGCCAGGCATACGTTTTGCTCAATGTTTGTTTCGTCACTGAAACTCATAAACTCACAAAGTAGAACTGCATAGCAGGATAACGGAGAGGTAGGCAGGGCGTTTTTTTTTTCTTATCTCGTTCTCATTAATAATTTCAATGTATATATGTTAATATTAATAATAGTATATGGAGTTTGATGTCCCAAAACCACAATATGATAATGAGGGAAGCCATAGTGAAGAGCTCCAGAAATTTTGACGGTATGGTGTTCTTTATAGTGAACTGACATCGCACAGGACACGGACCTCTAATATTTTGCCCCCACTGAAATGCAAACACCGCGGCCGAGAACAATCCTGTAACTTTCCGGTCAGCAATCGAGCACCGTAACCCCCCCACCAGCATGGTGGACATTGTGTGTTTGTTGTCTAGCCCTGCCTTCTCATACACAAGCACAGTTACTCCAAAAGAAAAACAGGGCGCACGAACCGATACTAAAATACATAAAACTGCATGCCAGCATGCGCTATCAAAGAAGTTGTTCTTTATTTATAAATGGCAACGTGCCAGAAGTTAGTTGCATCATTTCTATTTATAAACGAAGAACCAAGGAACTGCACTGGCATGCAGCTTTGGGTCCTTTGGTTTCAGCTCGTGTGCCCCGTTTCGCTTTTGGAGCACCAGTAAATGTAAGAAAAAGGGTGCCAAGATATTTTTTTTAGAGAGTAACTACAACGTGAAAGGTCTTCCAGTGGCTCTTATGAAGGCTGGGTCAAGCCTTCTGGCACTCCTGTGGAGGCCAACGAGGAGAAGGTCAGAGCACTTTTCCCTTTCCTCTCTTGCACCCACTCTCCCCAGTAAATGAGCTTTACACCCCCCCTATCGGAGAATTCTTTTATGTTACCACTGCCAGTTTCAAGGCTAAGCACCATTCAGTCAACACCGAACCATCATAGGAAATGGCAGAAAAAAAGAAAAAATTCGTGCCAAGCCTCTCGGGCATGAATTGCCGCGTTGTAAATTGTGTCACTATACAATTTACAACGCGGCAGTTTGATTTCCTTCCCATTTTGGTGTGAACCGTTTCCATTATACTAATGTCGTTTGTTGCAACAAGTACCATATTACTGTCGTTTCTTTCTGGATCCGCTTGCCTCCGAGGCCTCGTAGCCCTGAAGATGGCCATTTCCTCCAGTGTTTCTGCATGGCACAAGAAGAGTTATTAATGCACCAGACATGAAAATGACAACATCACGCAGAGAACAGTAGGAAAGCTGATAAATATGAGCTATATTCATTAAAGGAGAAAGCAAATAGCTGCGTACTGTACACATGCATTTTTTTTCTCCAAGAACAAGTGATGATATAGGTTTTCAAATATGGACTATGCCCTAAACATAAATTGTGAACAGAAAATGTCAAAACTTTCATGGCTCGACTTTCCTTTTGCGTCACAGAGTCAAAGCCATAGAGCAAGTGCATCCTGACACATTAAAAGGACACACCAAAACAATGAATCGGTTTATATTGACAAATTGTGCTCTGCAAACTCTTATGCTGTCAGTTTCACAATCATCGGTACATTAATACAAGCAAATATCAAAGTCATACTCTCGTTTTTCAATTTTGCAGAATAATCACTGGTGCGTGATGTCATAGATCTCAAAGTATGTTTTTTGTATTGTGGTCACACATTATCAATGAAACTAGCTTACACTTTGTACATTAATTGTATGGCCCCCTCAGGGGGCCTTTTTACTGATAAGGAATGATGTAGGACTAAGAAAATACCATTCAATCCAAATTTACATCACTGCATTTAGTGTTGGAATTCCAAGATGATGTTGGCAAGCACATTTTTTTTTCGCATGTTTTCCCTTACCAAATGTCTTTTTGCTGTAAGCGTATTGATTATGGAATTGTGAAGGAGAATTTTCTAAAATGGAATGTAATGTAAAAATAAAATGTGTTGCTGTATAATGTGATGGAAGGGGTTTATCATTGCCTTGCAGCACTTCTTTCATATGAACGTGCATAAACATGATGTTATTTTTTATTGTGCACACGCGACTCGGGCGGAGTACTAGGAGCTAGGGAGCATGAGAGGGGGTGGTGTTTTCGCGGCACATGGAGGGGACCGGCAGTACGTCAGTCATGTACATCCTGTTCCGGCGCTTTTACCACAGCACTTCCAAACAATGGGCGACGGTTTCTAAATCTAGAGAATCGAGCAATCACGCGATAACCACCACCGCGGTCACGCGATAACCACCACCGCGCGAACGCTCTGTGTTGTCGCTTATAGCATCACTCGTCGCTGTCCCGTGAATTTTCGCATTTATGGGGTTTGGCCTTTATGCTTGAGAAGTCTGAAAAGCTGGCCTGCTTGGTTCATGTTCAGATGCAACAAACCAACGAAAACTGAAAACAAAAACGATGAAGGCACTGGCTAATTGTGTTATTAGTGCAGGAAAAGTTTAACATACAAAAAGGTAGAGGGTTATCTTTTTTACTATGATTACTATTAGTAATCCAGGGTTAGTACAAGTTGCCAAAAAGTAAATTCAAGGATATTCAAGGACATCCCAAGACCTGTAGCAAGTTTATCAAGGACTCAAAGTGGCATGCTAAGCTGGAATTTTTCACTCTAAAATAAAAAAAAAAGATGAATTTTATTGCACTTACAACAGGTATATAGATATCCCAATAATAACAAAAAAAATCTAGTCTTAACAACTTCTCCCACCCTTTTCCTCTCCTAGGGAGAGGGCATGCGGCCATGCCAGAAAGTTACGTGCTGACGGGCTTCAACGCGTATATAATATATGTACGTGTGTAGGCAGGCCTTAAAGGGATGGTGCCACATGGCTTGCACACTCTTTGCTGCAAGCTTTGATAATAGGGTAGCTCCAACAAGCATGATACACGCACCAAGCTTAATTTATTCTCGCTATATATTTTTGCCTTATTGATGTGAACGATTTTCAGTTCCTGTTTGTGGGCGCCAAGTTGCGCAGGTATGTACAATGTAGCCGACTTAGCCACGAGATCACAAAGCTGCACGAGTCATGCTGAGTATTGTCTTCTCTCGCACACATGTGCCACACAAGCACCTGCAAAACAAACGCGCCGCTAGCTGCAGCAGCTGTGATGCTTTGCTCGTATGTACGAGGCTGAAGTCTGGAGGTCACTGCCTCACTAGAGATCTGATGTAACATCACTACAACTTTCGTTGCCCTTCCTATAGAGCCATGTCAGTATTGGACGTGCTCGTGATGATCCTCGATTAGGAGAATGAGCAATTGGGTACACTTGGGAAGTGACTTAAAATATATTCTAAACGTTTCCAAAGTCCTGCATTTCATGTGAAGTGCTTCTTGCTTGTATAGATAAAACCCACACGATGCTTGCTACAGCCTTGAAATTAGATGGCACCACCCCATTAAGAGTGTTGGCTTGTGTACGGTGGACACTTGCAGCATGTTGCTCACTAACCAGGAAGTAGCAACTATGGCAGTGGTTATTTACACTCATTTTGTGATGCTCTTTTGTAGCATCCTTTTTGGTGTTTAAGCAGCACGCTTCCAGTGTCGAGCTGCGACAGTTCTTCATCAGCACTCATCCTTAGCGCTTTTTCTTCGTGTGTCCTTTGTGCTTGGCAGCGCGTTGCATCTATGAAGTTTCTTGCCCTTCTTCATGTGACATTCTAATTTCACATGCATTTTTGCAAAACGAGATCATGTGCGCCCACACTGCATTACTGCTTCAGAAATGGGGAGTTCAAGACGCCAATCTACCACATTTAGGAGGTCACGATGCCAATATGAGAGTGCACTGCTCACGAAGTTCAAGAATTTTAAAGGATGGCAAAAAACTGCAGGATCATGAAGAGCCTTGAAAATAGATTTTTCAAAATCAAGGATTTCAAGGACCTATACGAACCCTGTACTAATTATTTTTTAAGGGGTCCTGAAACACATTTCTGAGTAACCATGGAATTAATTAACTGGAAAAGTGTATTGCTTCACAAAACCAACGCCGCAAAATTTTTAAGAATTCGTCCACTACGAGCGGAGTTACAAAGATTTGTCACACGCTGCAATCGCATTCTCTCTTCTCTCGTGTCGATGAAAGCACTGGAAGCTAAGCAGGGAGGGATGGGAAGGGCACACGAAAAACGTCACGCATGCCTCATGACCTTGAGCCCCTTTATCTTTTCATTTCTTTGAATAAAAAATGGCTTTTACAGTGTGATCCCGTGGACGAGCGATCGCCTCTTCGCGGTGATCACTGCAAAAAGCAAGCGCGCCATGTTCAAATAAGCCAATGGCTGATAGATCGGCAATATAAGTGTGATTTTTGAGCATCTTCTGCCATTTGTTGAGGGAAAAGAAAGCAATTTTTAGCTGACTTTGATAATTTATTATGAATTCCAGGCCGCGTGCTGCGCTGTAACATTTGGCTTGCATGTTCTTGGGAGCCCCTACTACTGATTGGCAGCGTTTTCTAACCATGCTCAAAAAGCTTGTCAGGGCTCCTTTAAGCATGTCAGTTATAGTCAAGATAGTGACTACCTATTCTGTCTGGTCTAAATAGGGAGAACAACACTTATTGCACTATTTTCGTTTTATGCACATTATTTTTCTCATAAGTATTCAATATCGAACATGTCTAACTTATGTAATCACTTCTTGGCCAATCTCCCTGAGTGGGTATGAGCCATATTTAAAGCATCACCATCAGGCACTATCGTCAGTGTGCAAATCATCGAGCCTTCTTCATCCTTGATTCAGTTTTCACTGTTTCTTGTCCCCATTTATTCACTACAAGTGTGAAGCTGCCTTAATCTTTTTGGCTGCCCTGTTCTGCTGCCAACAAGCGTGAGTTAACTGGCCTGCCAGTCTATTCCTACAAATTATGAGAATGCACAGTACAATATTCACATGCACAGCGTAAAGCCAGTACAACCAAGCGTGGATGGTGTGCAATTCGCTGAGGCAAAAACTGGAAAGCCACTGAAGGTACACTACTTCCAACATGCAGGCACATCAGGAAATAAAAGATAAAAAAAAAGGTGCCTTGCACTGTTGCTTGTCGATCAAAGAAAAGCTGCATCTTCACAGCTCAAAGTTCAACAGTGTAAGGGAATGTGTTCATCTTAATCAAATGCAACATACCCAAACACTCACCTCATTGAAGACAATATTATGTCCCAAAAGTGTTGATTGCAATTAGTACTTCAACTTAATCTTACATTGCTCAATGCAGTTAATTCAACAGCTTCTTTTCATGTGTTGCATTTACTCATAAGATGGAAATTATTAAAATTAAAGCAATTTACAAGAAATGTGATAAAAATAATCTTGCAAACTACAGTCCAATCTCCAGTCTACCAGTATTTTCGGAGGAATTGGAAAAAATCATTTTACCATATTCAGTGCCATTCATTTGTTATTTTAACATTCTGACTCCCAGAATGGCTTCATAAAAATAAGGTCTATTAAGGTGGAACTGCTTGACCAAGAAAAAAATAATACTTGAAATGTTTGAAACTCAACGCTTGCTCCTTATCAACTTTCTGGATTTTATGAAAGATCTACTATGAAGATCTTGTTAACACTTTATAATTATTAAAATATAGAACTATAGCACACAAAGGAAAACCCTTGCTTTTTTTTTATCGTACCTAAACCGTAGATCACAGTCTGTCATGGCCAATGGTCACTTTTCTCCAAATATGTTAATTTACGTCATTCATAGGGAAGCACTCTGGGTACTCTTTTGTTCTTTAAATTAGCAACACTATTACCATTGATCATAGAACGAAACATATTCTGTACACTATGATACTAGCCTGCGTCTTGCTGGCTAGCATGTTGCATGTCCATCAAGTCGAGCAAGCAAGATACTTCATAGAATTTACTTGTAGACCACAAATAATCATTGAAAGCTACACATAACCAAAATTAGGACTGCTTTGTTGACCTGTGAAACAACTCTGTGCAGTTTAGCAATTACTGCTGAACAATTCCAAAATAGAAGTTATAGAAAGTTTTCAAACTCCAGGGTATATTTCTCTCTAATAATCGGTCCTGGAATGCTCACGTTAATTTGTTGTAAAAAAAAATGTCAGATCCCGCGTACAGAGGGAGTCAATGGTGTGCGAAGCATGAATGAAGAAGGTCGATATGCCACTTTTATGTTAGCACAGTGTTACTAGGTGGACATAAATTGTGTCGTACATGACTTCCGTGTCATGATTATCATGTTTGAACCTGAAATTAGAGTTTGTCGTGTATTAACGTCACGTAATACCAAGTTTGGTATATGCGAAGCTACCGAAACGGCTGTGAGGGCGCTATGAACGTAGCATGTAGTCACGTTTTACATAACATCCATGTCATGATTATCATGTTTGCACCGGTCATATACCTTCGTCATTCATTCACGTCCTGTAATACTAAATTTGGTATACGTGAAGCTAGCGAAACGACCGCGAGCGCATCTTGAGCGTGGCGTGTAGTCATGACTTTCAAGACATGCATGTCATGATTTTCACATTAGGGCCTGTCACTTATGTTCGCCATGCTGTCATGCCATACCATACCAGTTTTGCAACATGTCATGTGAACGAAACCACTGCGAAAACAGCAAAACCATGAAATGTAAATCATGATGTTCATGATATACATGTCATGATTTCATGTTATCCCATACCAATTTTGGTATAAAAAAAGTCGCCGAAGTTCGCTAAGAAATGCTTGGCATTCAAAAAAACTGTCAGATCATATTTTACACAACGCTCATTTTTCTTTAAAGCCGGCAAGAAAAAGAACTATTTGTGACTTATTTCACTTCAAAGGATATGCACAGTTTATAAAGCTCCTTAGTGAAGTCACATACGAGGCATGTTCAAGAAGCTTAAAAGTGTAAACGTAAACTGCATATGCCATTTCAGATTACTTTGACAACATCAGCTGGAAACAAACAACAAAAGATTCCTCCTGAAGTCGATCGCGATGTTGAAAAAAAAAAAAAAATCCCTAAACACTGCACACACCATATGAGAAATGGAAAGTGTGCTGGGTAGTGCTGTGTGTTGAACATGTCTTGTTTTGTCCACATCCTTTGTCTATGCTACCATCTATTATCTTGCTAATATGGCACAGCTTGTGGAAAGCAAATACTAGAGATTACAAAAATTATTAAACGGGCCAGCAGAGAATTGGTACTGATTTAGCTTTGGCATCTTTGAATGAGCTGGGAAGCATATATGTACAACTCTGCAACGATTCATATTTTAGTTAATGCATTAATCGTGTTATTTTTTTTTCACCGGTGACACAGTGAATGCCTCGTAGCATTGTTGTACGTTTGTGTATCTTCCTTGATGCAGATACTTGTGTCTTGGTTGCACTGTTTTGTAGTCAGTGAGTAGGTTTGTCATTTTGCTTTGCAAACCAGTTTTTCCTTATGTATACTAATGCATAAAATTTCTTTCTTTTTGTGGGCGCCAAACACTTGAGAAATATTGAATAAAATTGAACTGTATTTTAAGCGTACACATATGCACACACATGCACGAACATTTCCACAGGGCTGGCAAGAAAAGCTGTTAGTAAACAAGGCTGAACTTTCCATAGAACTTGCGACGACGACCGCTTTTCTTGCTCACTTTCTGATTGCATAATATGGCTCCCGCGCATCATTACTTAACGATATCTAAGCAGTTTGTGCGCTATGCCCTGCGAGCCGACTACTTCTTCAAGTGGCCACCAGCATACCACTGTCACACGGTTACATTTTATTGCGATCATTCCCAGCCCAGATCGAATTTCTTTATCGTGATCGTTTCCTTTACAGGAGCTGCTAAAAGGAGCTCTGCTGAGAAATCAGATTCCGATCAGTCTGAATCTTGATTGGCACTGCACCACAGGCTCTACCACGCCAGACATTAGACTTATGGACGAAGATCGCTTAATAGAGGGTACGAGAGAAAGGAATATAGGCCAGAATGTACATTTGTTGGCTTACCCGTAATGTGGATGACTTTGATCGCTTCGTAGAGCCTGTCTTTGTGGCACGACCGAACATAATAAGTCCTCGAGCGGCTGAAGTCATTCACGTCCTTTGGATTGAAAGGTTCCATGGGAGAGCAGTGAATACGCGTGTATTCCACAACGCCAGTCTTGAGTGAAGGCGTGTACTCCACGTAGACGAACATGGTGCGTTGTCAACTTGGAAGCTGTCACCGCCAAAGCATGCAGCCAAAAGGTACCTCGCCGCTCGTCGTAAACAAATCTGCCCGCCAAAACAAAAACCAACGTGACTATGCGAATTATCACGTGAGCAATTGACCATGGTGGCCTACTAGCATCACTGTGAGCGGTCCAAAACAGTCTCAAGGGTTCCAAGATATAAAGAAGCACTGACATCAAATTTACTCATGTCAAAATTTTTTCGGCAACGAGTTGCTATGTACCCACTAGTAGCAAGTTGTGACTTATAACGCCACTCATGTACGAATTACTGTCACCTTTAGTGATTTATATCACTGGTATCTAGCAGGATTCAAAACGGCCGGTGATCCCACCATTTTTCACTCTGAAAGCGCGCTAAAGATGGCGAGATTGCCGGCCATTTTTAGCGTGCTCCCAGCACTAGAATTGTGTTCCTCAAGCTCATATAGTTTCCTAAACTTAAACTCTATGCTCATATTAGCCGCGGTAACCCATGAAGTTTCATACAATAACACCTAGAGGGTAATGTGGCGCTAGGGTCTACGCGAGCTTAGAGTGCCTCGATGTGCTCGTTCGCTTCTGGTACAGTGTTCTACAGTACCTACCTCCGCCACCTTTCCTTCCTCCGTGATCTCCGCCAAGGAGGCTCTCTGAGTATACTAAAACTACTGGAGTGGTGGTCCCGCACATAGAGTTTCTCAAAATTAACTAGAGAGCACTCTGGCGCTGCGATCGTTCAGCGACCATGGGAGTGATGGGTAGTACCACGGAGGAAAGAAATGTAAGGAGAGGCCCTGACGTCACTCGTTGTGAAGCCGCCACGGAGGAAAGAAAAAGGTGGGAAGCCGCGATGAAGCCGAAAGTCGGCCATATTGAATAGGCAAATTCTCCTCTCTTGTTTACATGTGAATGCGAAGCAGAAGGCGCGACTCCCTCTCTGTCTCAAAAAAGCACGTGGCCTGCGCGCCACGTGCGTCGGTGCTATCCGAAACCAACGTAACGGATTTCAACACGCTGTCTTGCCGCGATGCGGTTGACGAAATCTCTGCGTATGGCTGTTGTACTCTTGCACTGCCGGCGTTAACGATAAACACGGTAAGTTGCACGTTAAGATTTTTTTATTGGATGTGATCTCTGTGAAAATAAAGATTATATTTCGGACATTGCGGCGCGACGAACCAGGCACCAAAATTCGTACAGCTTCTTTCAGATCACTTTTTTCCCCTTTTGCGCTTCTCTTTACGTTTTATGAAATTTTCGGTCAGGCTGTGGGCTAGACACAACGATGAAAAAAGAAAAAAAATGTCTTTCCTGCAATAAACCCGGAGGTCCGTAATTATGCCAGTAAAGTCGGCGTCGGTGGAGCTTAATTGTGTGCGTGGCAGCCCGTTGAGTTTGTGCCGGCCTCTTTGTTTTCGCCCCTCTTTTGTCCGACGCGCACTGGTTCCTACGGATATCCGAAAGACCATGATTTCATTAGGACGAAAACAGCGAAGACCACCCGAAAGTGCGTGGGAACACGTCTCCAGTGTGATTCACGCGCACTAGTAGCTACGTAAGATTTATCCAGAGGCAGCTAAACAGCTGAGCAAAAAGGAGGAAATTATGTGGCGAAAATTGCAAACCGGGGTGTTTCCAAACCCTCACCTGTACAGTAAATGGCACCCGGAAGTGTTCAACTCCAGATGTGCGCACTGCAACAGCACTGCGGGTTTAGTGCACATGGTATGGACCTGCCCATCCTACAATGATCCAAGTAGAAACGTAGAATCCTGGGAGGCCTTATTACACAGCCGTGACGCCGAAGAACAGCGTCAAGTCATCGGTCTCGCCCTGACCGCCGCCGAGTCCCAAGGGATTTCGGCCGATGACTAGGGGGATGATTGGGGACAGAGGCCAAAGCCTCCTCCCCCGTCATTCTAGACGGGTGCAATAAACGTTATTTCTCTCTCTCTATCTACGGAGAACGGAGACCAGGATCTCGTTAGGGCGAAAGGTGGGAAAGTTAGCCGAAGGAATGCGTGAGAAAAGGTCTGCGGGAAGCTTCACGCGTCGACACAGCCGCTAAGGACGCCAGGGAAAGCCAGCCAAATGCGAGGGAAGATGTCTCTGGGATAAATGGCTAGTCATGAGAGGAAAATAAAGAGAAGGCGCTTGTTTCTGTCTTCCGTATCTGGAACAGAGCTCAGCGCCTACCGCCAACCGGTAACTGTACAGGAACATGAAAAGCAAGATTAGATTACAGTCTTAATAAGGGCCTGTGGAGCGCAAATGCATCGTCCGTTGTCATAAGAAGCAACAGTGCATAACTTTCACCAAGCTGCAAGGCATTCACTGAATGAATTCTTGAGCACAGTCGTTATCTTCTATGATGGCTTTTCAGCATAATTTTGATGGACGCTGCAAATTCGGAGTACGTATACGCGCGCTCGTTCCGTGGTTTCTAGTTCAGACACCTGGTTACAACCACCACCGGGGGAAAATCGCGTAGCTAACAATGCCGCACACAGAATGGATGCTGTCGAACACCTGCAGTACGCCACGGTTAGGTGCGAGGCCCATGAAAACGCGCACACCGCCGCTGGACCACCTGAACGGTGCCGCACCGCACTACATCGACAATAACAAAACGCCGCCATTGTGCCTAGTGAATATGGCCGCGCGTGACGAAATTTCCGCCACATTTTTTACGCCCTGCGCCAGCTGGGCATGCCCTCTCCTTACCTTTCCTTCCTCCATGATTCCCATGCTCCCTGAAGCGCCGTGCGTTGCAGCTCCCATAGACACTAGCGCCAGAGTTCCCTGTAGTAAGTATTGTGGGAAACTCTATGGTCCCGCATACCCGCCCAAATATCAAAGTGAAGCCGCAGCGGACATATTGCGCAGGGCAGAAGGAGGCGGCGACTGCCTTCATCCTGCTCCATCCTGCCAGAAAACGATGAAGCAGGATCTGGTACGAACTACTCCACAATAGACCATATTCATCCTATTGATCAAGTACTAGAGAAATGCGCGGAATACAATCAACCGCGACATATAGCTTTTATAAATTACGAGAAGGCGTTTGACTCAGTCGAGACATAAGCAGTAATCCAAACACCACGGAATCAGAGCATCGAAGAGCCCTACATGAACATACTGGAAGAAATCTACAGTGGATCCACAGCCACCATAGTTCTCCATAAGGAAAGCGACATAATCCTAATAAAGAAGGGTGTAAGGAAGGATACACGATCTCGCCAATGCCATTCCACGGTGTTTACAAGAGGTTTTCGGGACCATAGATTGGGAAGTGTTAGGGATGAGAGCTAATGGAACGTACCTTGGTAACCTACGATTCGCTGATGACGTTGCCTTGATGAATAACTCAGTGGACGAGTTACACCTCATAATTCACCTCAGTTACACCTCAGCTGGACAGGGAAAGCAGAAAAGTAGTAAAGCTGAAAATTAAAATGCACAGAAAAGCTGCACAGAAAAGAAATAATATGCACAGTAAAGCTGAAAATTAATATACACAAATCTAAAGTGATGTGCAACGGTATCTTCAGAAAAGAGCACTTTGCGATAGGTGATAAAGGGAGAGACGCGGGAAGTTGTAAAGGAATATGTGTATTTAGGACAAGTATACTGCGGAGCCGAACCATGAGAGTGCAATACCCTAGAAGAATAAGAATGGGGTGGATTACATTCGGCGAGCATTCTCAAAACATGAATACTAATCTGCCACTAACCCTCAAGAGGAACGTATATAACAGCTGCATCTTGCCAGTACTTACCTAGGGAACTGAAACCTCGAGGCTTACAGAGCTCAGCTTAATTCAGGACGACGTAGCGAGCGATGGAAAGGAAAATGATAGGTGTAACCTCAAGAGACAAGAAGAGAGCAGAGTAGGTCAGAGAACAAACCGGGGTTGATGCTGATGCTGCTGATGCTGATGACCTCAGATGGATGGCGCTCACTCACAGAGGGGGTCGGGCCAAGAACCGGGTGGCGGCAGGTTCTTGGCCGCCACCCGGTTCTGAAATTAAATTAAAGCCAATGTGGAAAATTAGTTTAGAGATAATACTGCCAATAAACAAAAATGGTTGCTTAGCAAGCGGTCAAACCATCTCTTGTTCCTGACAGACATCGCTACGAATTATAAACTAAAGATCTGAAAAAGTTAGGATTCACTAGCACGGTAATCGTTTAAGTTGCATTGATGTAGTTAAACACAGTGGAGCATATATCCCTGTGGTAGTAACCAAATGAAGTGCCGCCAAGTGATAAAAGTACTGGTTGATGATTTATTTGTTGGGTTTAACGTCCCAAAACAACGATTTGATTATGAGAGCCGCCGTAGTGGAGGGCTCCGAAAATTTTGACCACCTGGGGTTCTTTACGTGCACCCAAATCTGAGCACACGGGCCTACAACATTTCCGCCTCGATCGGAAATGCAGCCGCCGCAGCCGGGATTCAATCCCGCGACATGTGGGGAAAAAGTACTGGTACATTTACTTGTATTCCTAGCTTTTGTAACGGGGCTACTAAAAATATTTTTCTCTGATAAGAGTAACGACGACAGAATAAAAAGCCATGTTCAATTGTTTAAATTTCGTTGCAAAAAATGCACAGCGGTGACGCCTTGAGTCGTGCTTTGTTAAGGTAATAATTTAGTTGTGGAACTGTACAGCGCAGTCTGGTATAAATGACCTCTAACTGGCGAGATACACACCACAGCTTATTCCATCAATACCTTAAATGCTCGAAATCTTTAAAAATACCCAAATTACCTATTCCTTATTGCAAACAAGCATTTCGGAACCTCAGCGCTGTCACGTAAGCCGTATCTGGCAAAACTGGAATGGTGGGCCCACTACGGGATACTGCTGCTAAAGAGTCTGCCATTTCGTTCAAATATAATCTGAGCTGGCCAGGTACCCAGAGCAAATGCATTTTTTTTACGTTATTCGGTACTAAATGCTGAAACGTATTCTTCAGCTCTGCATTTGTTGCCACAGAAAGTGCATTACATACCGATAACGAATCTCTAATGATAACTGCTGATGATTCGC